TAATTTTAGGTGGAACAGGTCTAGACCATATCTCCTTGGTCTGAAAACCCAATTGTCCCAGGGAAGAGCAAAGTGACTTAAAAAAGGAAGCACAAGTAACCTTTTGGATGAGGGGACCATAATCTCACATCCAAACTAAGAGGGTCCAGAAATACACTGCCAAGAAGAGACTACAGATCTGAAACACTACTAAGTTCATAATCCCTCAAACCTCTTTGAAAGCCAAAGTCCCAACTTAAGGATGAGGGTGAAGTAAGAGATGGGAGAAAATGAGAGATAGCTTTTTCCTTGTAAAGGGAAAGAGAATAGAGAGACAGGAATCGATCCTTAAGGGCAACAATACCCACCCAAGTGTCTTCCCAAAATAAAACTGAGTTACCAGAATTGACATCATACCTGACAAAGTTGAGAAATTGAGGGAGGATACTCTAGATTGCTTTCCAAGGAGATGCCAATGTAGCTTGACGTGATACATCCGCATCCCATCCATTTTCCAATCTGCCATGTATACTAGCTAATGGTTTCATGCCACAACCTCTCCCTTTCTCTAGGCCACCTCCACAACCATTTTCCTAAGACTACCCTTGGTGAGAAACACGAGATCCAATGGTTTTTGGAAGTCGGTAGTAGTGGGTTTGCCAAGAATCTAGCCCTTTAGAAAAGAAATTATATCTCTCTAGGAGGAAGAATTACCCTAATCAATGCTACCATAGCAAATCTACCTATATACTTTCCTATCCGCCTTTTGTCTCCCGACCAAAATTGCAAAACAATTAGAGAAATATATAAGGGATTTCTTGTGGGAAGTGGGAGAGGAAAGAAAAGACCATTCAGTTAAGTGGGAATAAGTTTGCAAACTAAAGAAGAAAGGTGGCCTAGGATTAGGAAATATTGTCTTCAGAAACACTGCTTTGTTGGGATTTGGGAAAGTGGTTGTGGAGATTTCCGTTCGAAAGAGACAAGCTGTGGCACAAAGTAATAGTAAGCATTCATGGTCTGGAGGGTAATGGATGGGATGCAAAACTTAATAATCACTCAATTTCAACTTCTCCTTGGAAGCAATTCATGAGGTATGTTCATATCCGTTATAATGTGGGCAGCGGTGACAACATATGATTTGGGGAACAGCTTTTTTTATCAATAACTTGAAGATTTCGTTAGAATATGCAGGTAGAAAGTATACTATATAGAAGTACAGAACAAACACTAAGAGATAAAACCTCTTATCTCTCCCCATCCCACCCCAAATCCCTTACATCTGGCCCATAACAGAGAATCTCTCCCCACCCCTACTTAGCTAAAAAATCAGCTACAGAATTAGCATCTCTCTTAACCCATCCAATTCTTAGTTCCATATCTCTGGTTAGCCACTTGACTCTTTTCTCCTCATTGTTGAAGAGACACATTTTCATCTACTCTTCTTGTAACCAATTGATTACAAGCTTTGAGTCTCCCTCCACAAATAATTTAGTCATGCGACCTTGTCTTTGTTAAGCCTTCTACCATAGCCATCACCTCTACTCTCAAAGAGTCTCCTTCCCCAACTGGCCCAGAGTATAATGCATTTGAATTTACCCTCCTCGTCTCCAAATACACCGCCAATACATGAACGTCTAGGGTAACTCAAACTGCTACCATCAAAATTTAATTTTACAAACCCCCTATCTGGTGGAGATATTGATGATTAACAGTTGTTTTATAAACATAAGAGTCTGCCACTTCCTTCCAGTTCCCCAGTAGGTTAGTTGTTGAGATACTAGAGAAACTTTCTAAAGACTCCAGCCAATGTACCACTCTTATTTAAATTGTTTCAGTGACATCTTCTTTACTTCTTTCTTTTTCTGAGAATATCCCTGTATTCTTCTTCTTCCATACTGTCTATAGAATGGAAGCCCTTATGCATTTCCACATCAGCCTCCCTCTCTTCTTTGGCCAACCAAAGGTATTTGTAGCCAAAATGCTTTGTACATCCACTAGGGGATTCCACCTGCACCCAAAACAAAGAAAATCACCAATCCCGTATAGAAGTAATGAAAGAGCAAGAAACAAAAAGGTGGAAGCAACTCTCACCATCACCCTTGTAAAGCACACACCATTGAGGGGATGAACATCAACTTGGCCTCTTTCTTTTAAGTCGAAGGTATTAATCTTTCTATGTGCAAATTTCCAAACAAAAAGCAGCAACCCTCAGTGGAATATGTGCAGTTATGGAAGGAGCCCGGAAAACTAAGGAATTGAACATCAAGAAACTTATAATTGAAGGRGATTCAGAGGTGGTGATAGGGTGGCTGACCAAAGAACAAAATGATCTTTGGAAGTATAACAATGAGAAGAGGAAATTCAAATGG